GTCTATGAGCTCTAGCTGCTGCATTTGGGGATTCTTGCATCACTTCATTTTTTTAATCAAGTCTGACACTTTTGCCCTGAGCAGGGATGAATTAAAAGGCTGCACACTAGCAGATGGCATTGCTAGCCAGGATACTTCTGCCTGCTGCCACCAGTAGTCAGAGAGCAACAGTTCAGTCAAGCCTCAGCTTGGCTCACAGACCTCGGACTAACTCTGCATAATGGCAGTGCTGAAGGGCTGCTGGAAGCGAGCAAGTCTGAAACAAAGCCTCCAAGATCAGTTCTGCTGCTGCCTAACCTTGGGGGCACCTGAAACAGAAACACAGAATCAAACAGGTTGGAAAAGACCTTTAAGATCATAAAGTCCAACTGCTCCCCAGCACTACCAAGGCCACCACTAAACCGTGTCACTAAGATTGGGTTCTTTAGACTTGCACAGATGTCTGTAGATCTCTTCAGATCTCCCTTCCTTGCAGGAGTAGGTAGAGGAGTCTTTTTGCAGGGTTTTACCACACTCAGCTGGAGGGCACTGGTCCCACAACCAAGACATAACTGACTGCAAACCATCCTGGTCTGCCTCAGTGTAAAACAAAAGGTCATGATCTTTCACAGAAACTGGTGCAATTTCAGTAAGTCTTTCACAGAATTTAGATACTTCTATCCTTAATTGTACCCTTATTGCCTTTACCCTGACTTGATTCTTTACTTTCACAAAAGCTCATGAAATAAGGACTTAACCTGACAGATTGGTGTTTTATTCTCAAACAAGAACAGAAGGCTCCTATGAAACACATATGAGCTATTTACATCTGTACTGGTGCCTGCTTTTTGCTCCCACTAGGACAGAAAAGCATCTGCCTGGTCTCTTCTAGCAGCTTGCCTGTTCCATAGATGTTATACACAGTGCTTCCATAACTTCTCAGCTGTCCTACTCATGCTCTTCAAAACAAAACAAACCCCAAACAAGTGAAACCCCATCATTTATGGCCACCAGGGATTTTAATAACAATAAAAAGAACAAAAAGCCTTTACAAATCAATCCTGCCAGTGTGCTACCAAACACCTGAGGAGATCTGAAATCCAAATCAGTGCTTTTCAGTGCTAGAGCTGATGCTAACAGTTAAGCCGTAAGACCATCTGTTCCAGGTAATTATGAAACACACCTTGCAAGCTGTATTCTACACAGGCTTGAAATAAGGAGGGCTGATCTCATCAGGACTCAAAACTAAGCAGCATCAGACCTCATTAATCTGTGGAAAGAAGACTTAAAAGAAAACCTCAGGCTGTGCTTGCCATCCCTGGAACAATGAATCTGCACACCAAATCGCATCTTCTTTGGTTTTGTATTTGAACAAAGTACCAGATTGGACCTTGTTTTCTTCTTCAAACAGAAGGCCACTAGCAACCTATTCTGCTGCAGCTCAGGTATGCTTATTCCAGCAGAGGATAGGGCTGTGTGAGACGCACCCAGGTACGTTGGCCAGCTTCTCCTGGCACTCATAGAGGCAGAGTAGAAGCCAGTAAGAAACACAGAGGCCTGGCACTAGGAGCCAGCTAGAGCAGAGCCAGTTCCAAAAGGCTCATGCTTAGCATGCGAGTTCTGATGAGATACTGAGGAGTTTTTAGTTATGTAGCTTGGGATTGTTTGCTTTTTGAAAAATAATGCTTGAAAAAGCCACCTAATTCCAGCTTCAATGTTTTTTAAGCATGGATTGGAACGGATGACTTATTTTAGAAGGTTTATTTTGCACCACCACGAGCAGCGCAAAGACAGCTGAAGAATTATTCCTTGTGAGTTAGTCATAGTTTTAAAAAAAGCTGAATTGGTGACTGATAGAGATTCCTTGATTTAATTCCAAAAGGAATTTCATGGTCAAGCATTTCCTGGTATACGTCATAAAAAAGGATCACTGGTCCCAGATCCTGTCCTAGCTGCACACTGGGTAGTTACATTATCCTGCCTATGGTCCTATATAATTTACACTTGACTTTGATACTACAGAATTTCCTTTTCCAAAGTGCTATATTCAGGCTTAGCAGCTGCTCTACTCTGCAAGAGGCAGTATTTTAGCAGACATTCTTGTCTTTTAAGTTAACTAAAAGCTTTAAAACCCAGTGGGAAAAGAGCAGCAGTGTATATAAACGTAACTAATATGCTTTAACACATAGCAAATTGCATCAACAGAATAGTACCAGAGTGCTGATTGTCTTTAAACACCAAGAGCTCACGGGCACGTTTATTTTTAACAGCACAATGCTCATGCATTAAAAGAAGGACTAATATATTTTTGTTGTATTTTTCCAGTCTTCAAATATTTGCTGTAATTGAAAGCAGTTTAATCTTACACAAACACAAATTCTGAGGGAAAGCAGAGTACTCTATCTAAGTGAGACGGCACGGAGAAAACAGTTATCTGCCATGGAATTTGGCATGGGCATGAACACTAATACCCCAGGCTCTTTTATGATAAAAAACCAGGTTTGGCACCCAGTCTTCCGTCAAGGCTAAAATAAGTCACTTTCATGCCTGATAAAACCATGCTGAGACATTACCAGTCTCTAATGGGAGAGAATTACCAGTTCCACTTGTTGACAGCAATGCCTTTAAAACCTGTATGTTGGCCTACAGGACACAGACTCATCATCTACAGACACCCAGGGCTTAGATTTAGATAAAGGTTAAAGTAAATGCTTGTTCCAGAACCATTAAGCCCAGACCCGTCACTGACTGGGCACACTGAAGCACATATGATTGTACCTCACATTAATACTGGGAAAACAAAATTAAGCTGGAGAAACTGGTAGTGAATGAAACACAACTTGAGGCATCCTAGATCTATTCCTGTTCGTGCCTAGAACTTGAAGTTACCTAATGAACCATCCTCCACCTTCAGTGTGTACAAGGGTAATCAGTTTCTTTCAGCCAAGTAACTGACCAGGAGACCAGAGTGCATCAGCACAGAGCTGGAATACTGTATCCAGTCTGGAAAAAACCCAAAACAGTGACATACTGGAGTGAGCCAGAAGAGGAACATCAAGCTGTTTGGGGTGGGAGAATGTGATATTCAAGGAGAAGCTGTGAGAAACTGGGTCTGTTCAGTCCTAAACAAAGATGAAGGGGAGACCTTACTGCTGTCTACATCTACCTGATCAGAGGACACAAAGAAGATGGAGCCAGAGCTGCCTTGAGGAGCCTGGTGACAGGACAAGAAGCAAAAAAGCAAGTTGGAATATGGGAAATTCTGATTACATGAAAATAGGAAAACGTTGTTTATATGTTTTACCATGACAGACTGCCCAGAAAGTTGGTGGAATCTCCATCCCTGGAGGTGTTAAAGACTAGACTTGAGACAGAGCCCTAAGGAACCCGTTCTGAGCAGGTGTTGGACTGGATGTCCTATGGATGTTTCTTCCAGCACAGTACGTTACAGAGCAAAGAAATAAAGCATTAGAGGAACAAAGATTTACGTATCTTTCACTATCTACCACATCACAGAGGCAATCTGGAAGTTAAGGCCACTTGTCTGCCACTTGTCAGCTAAGGCTGCTGCTCACCAGTGAGGTAAGTTCAGACAAACAAAACAGATAAGGTGAGAGTTACAGGGTCTGCAGCTATGGAGTCATTTACTAGAGCTAGAAGTACATGCACACAACTGCAATTGGTTGAGTCATTATGTAACTTACTATCCATGAGTAGTGCCTTCTACTCTTTTGATTCTAATAGAAATATTCCACCTTCCTGGTCTGGCCTGATCTATAACCCTCACACTTTCATTAGCTCTTAACTGTCACAACAAGGTTTCCACAGGCAAAAAGCCACCAGTGCCTGGGAGGCTCCAGCTAACACGGAACTGTGAACTGCAGTTCAGGCATTCGCCACCTGCTACAGTACCTTTGTTGAAAACTTTACTGGAGATAAGGCCCAACACATGGAATTTAAGGTGCTTCATAACCTGAATTGTCTAGAAAATACCTAAAGCTTCACAATGAAGACTAGAGCAGTGCTTCTGCCCACATTCATGATTCATTGTACTCCAGTGCACAACACCAAGCTTCTATAGAAGCCAAAGCCTGAGAATTAACTTCCCAGCAATTTAAAACCATAATAATCTTGGACTTAAACACAAAAGATGTTTCGTTGACTCTGCCTTCTCTAACGTAAACACACAGCAGTGCTGCATTATTAATAAAGCAACAAAATCAAACATGCAGAGCAGTAACATGAATACTCCCTTAAAGCACAACTTTACCATGCCTTTCTTCATCTGGGAGGAAAACCAGACAACAAACAAACACATGGCAGATGTTAGCCAGCTTGCCAAGCACACGATTAGAATAAGCTGAAGTGCTGTGTGATAAGAATGGTTTATGCAGCTCTACAGAGGAGACAACAAGCCTTCACTTTCCCTGTTTGGCTTAAGGCTTGGGGGAAAAAGTGCTGATTTGCCAGTTTGCCTTAAAGTGTCCTCAGGTCCAATTCACCTGGTAGAGACTTGCTCTGGCAGGATGGGACTTGCCAGCTGAAGTGTGGTATAATAAGCATGTTAAAAATTCACTTTGTAACCCCCTAGGCAAGTTATTTGGCCTCTTTGCTTCAGTTCCCTGCTGTAACAAGAGAACAGCACAGAGCCTTGGGTGACATGGTTTAGAGTGAGGTGTCCCTGCCCATGGTAGGGGGGTTGGAACTGGATGATCTTAAGGTCCTTTTCAACCCTAACTATTCTATGATTCTAACAGCACTACTTACCTCCTGTTCTCTGCTCAGCTTTTGAAGTTCAGTAATTAATGAGTAATTAATGTTTGATAATGGTAGCTGCCAGGAGGCATGCTAGACTGTGCATGTTCAGAAAAGGAAGTGCCAAATGCTTCGCAGACATATGAAACACTGACCTATCTGAATGTGCTTCCAGACACACATTATGGAAGGGTGTCTATTTCTTGGGTGCATCTTGGACTATGTCATTCACCATGGTAAGCAGAAAATGAGCTCTGGCAGCTTACCTGCAGTTTCAATACAAGGGTATGAAGGAGGAGGTTTGTGCCATTTCCCATTTGCATCTTTCATATGCGATCTGTCTGAAGCAAAAGTCTTCAAGTACAAATCAGCCCGAATCATTCGGATTTTCCTAAATAATAATGCAAAACTGTATCACAAGATGCATGGATACAATACTGCATCACTCACTCACAACAGCTCTTTCATCCCACCAAGGAACATTCATTTCATGAAACACATAAATCACAAATATTGTGGCAAGAAGTTAACAAGCAGAAAAGAAAGGAAAGGAGTTTTGATGACTGAAGAGCTTTAGAAAAATAACACAATGCATTTGTTTTACTGGGGTATAGCACAAAGCCCTTTGTCACTAAACATCCACAAAGAGAACTTCAGCTTTAATTTCATGAAATAACATTCATGGTCTTCATGTTTTATGTCATTACCTGTGAAATTCTGGACGAAGGCCATCATCCAATCTAAAGGCCTCCACACTGTACATGTCAAAGGGACATGGGAACGGCAACACTGTGTCGAGATCATAAATGAAGTTCTGCTCCCCGCTGGAAACGTGAAGTAGAATGACATGGTAGTCCTGGGAAAAAGGGTAATTGCCATGAGTTAAACAGCTTTAATGAGAAACTGGCAAAGGGAGAGGGGAGACGAATGCTTCCTAAAAGCAGAAGCTACAGATCCCTTCTTCAAACCCCACTTCCTGCTCTTGAAATATTAAGCCTGTAACATTTCTGGCACCAGGGGTTTTCGCAACACCTGTCCAGCCCATTGGGCCTTTCAAGAAGCCTTGCTATTCCATCCGTTCCTCTTCAGCCTCCTCTGGGGCTTATCTAACACGTACATTACTCCTAAGAACTCTGAAAATCTTTTCCATGTCCTGCATTAAAACACAAAAGTTGAGTGGGATAGTATTTTTATCTTGGACCCAGCCCTAAATAAATGCTCACTATGATATGAAGACAGCTTAAGACTAAAATTATCTAGTGATGTCTTCTAACAAAAGACTTGTACCTGTTGCAGTAATTTGAATTTGAGTGCAGTGTTCAGCTGCCAGAAGCACCTGAAAAAACAGCATGCAACTGAAAAGGGAGCAGATGGCTCACATGAAGAGGCCCGTTGAGAAAGACGTGCCCATAGCACCTCCTGTAGCTGGGCAGAAACACCCAGACCATAATTTTTCAAGGTAACTATTTTGTCTTGACACTTGGGTTGTGAGGTGCACTTTTATTCCTTAACTCATAAGAAACACACAAGGTTGTGGTGGAGGTTTGGAGATGCTGTAGCTACTTATGCCAGCTGTTAGGTACGTACACTGCTGTGTTCCAAAATTAAACTGAAGGTAGCTGTTAACAGCTTACTAAAGCTCAGATTAAACCCGCTCACAAAAAGAGTGTGAAGCACCATCTTTTGGCACTTTCAAGATTAAACAGAACCACAAAGGGACTGGGAGGAAAAAGATCTTGGGGCAAGCTACTTTGCCAGACCACTATATGTATGTGTATAGATACACAGACACACATATATATGTAATGTATGCAATGATAGTTAGAAGAATCTGTTACAGACTATAAGAAAACTTAACTTTACATGTCCTATGATCCACTGAAACATCCAAGTTAAAACACCTTTCAATCCATGAGACATTCACATTCTGCAGTGGCCTTTCCTGATTCTCTTATTCCTTTTGAGAGCATCTTTGTAAGACTTTGATTTCCTTAAATGAAACCTTTTTTGTGCTATGAAGATAGTGATATCTTGGGAGAGAATAAGCAATTCAGAAAACATGGAACTTCAGTTTTATTTTACACAATTTCAGGGGGAAAAATTGCCACAAGAAACAGTTTTTTCCAGGTAACTGAAAGGACTCTAATCATATGTATTTAAAAGGAATTCTGCAGTGGCAATTAGTGAACGACATTAGTTGATTAAATGACACTCCAAAGCCACCATTAACGGGTCAATTTAGTTGCTGACACCTGAAGATATGCACTGCTTATTTTTCTATCCTCTATCAGGCCTATATGGATATTTTCATTCATCTACTTCATACAAGTACAAATATCTACTTCAAATCCTAAAAAGCTGGTAGCCTCAACAACACTCAGACAATAATCTTACCAATGTTAAGGTTTATCACCTATAGATTTTACTGTCTTGCTGTTGATTTGTTATGAATGGTAAAAAGGAGCACCAGATTTAGGCTTTTTATAAATCTATTGTAAAGGAATACATATTAATACAAAGTTATAGAACGGCTGAGGTTAGAAGGGACCTCTGGAGGTCACTTGGGTCCAACCTGCTGCTCAAGCAGGGACACCTAAAGCCAGCTGACCAGGACCGTGTCCAGATGGCTTCTAAATATCTCTAAGGATGGAGATACTGCAACCTCCCTGAGCAACCTGCTCCAGTGCTCCATCACCCTCATTGTAAAACAACATGTTTATGTTCAGATGGAACAGTCTGCTGCAGTGAAGACATTGCCCACGTCTGACCCTGCAGCTGTCCACTACAGAAGCACACGCTCAAAATCACTGACGGGAGAGAACGCCTTACCCAGACAACAGGCTCATCTCCATGTCCCGATTTCTGCTTCCACAGTGGAATCTGAAAGTTGCAAGTAAATAAATCTGAAGTGAATAAAACCTTTCAATTAAATACACATTCCCTTTGGGTTAATTGGTTTGTTCTTTGCTAACCTATCCACTTCCACAGCTTACATCTGTACTGCAGTCAGAAAGATTTCTGTCATTTCTATCTTCCAGGAGCATGAAGTTGGAAACACCATTCTAGATAACATCATCATCATCCTCTCAGATTGACAGATCACAGGGAAGAATGCTCATAGGGGCATTGTGGCTTCTCCACTGTCCTGAAGGCAGCAGATAACAGATCTGACAAGGTATGATTCCAGGTCTCTGAGCCAAAGTGAGCTACAGAAGGGGTCTGGACCATGTCTTACAGGTTGGGCTGCAGGCTAGAGGCATCTCTCACCTATGCCAGGCTGTGGTTAAAATGCCTGGGACGATGTTTACTTACACCAGGCTGTAGTCTAAAGCCCTGGACTGCGTCTCACCTACACAGGGCAGCAGCCTGAAGACCTGACCCTCTCCATAGCTGCATCCACATCACACCCCATTGACTCACCATCCTCCTATCATTGGATATGAAAACAGCATAAAACTCTTCTAACGGGTACTGGCCCTGACTCCTGATGTACTCACAAAGCTTCCAAACGTTTTCTTCACTGCAAAACACAAGAACTGATTATTTCTGTTTAAACAATCAACGTGCGGACAGAGTCCCGCCCCACCGGGTGCGGACCACACCACCCGGCTCCCACCCGCCCCTCGCAAGGCCGCGGGCCGCCCTTACCAGTAACAACTGGTGTAGGCGCAGGCGGGGCGGGCTGGCACCGCCGGTTCGTATGCAGCCGCGGGCCGTGCCATGGCCGGCCTCGGCGGGTACAAAAGCGGCGAAGGAAGCGCGGGGAACGACGTACGCCACCAGCTACGGCTTCACTGAGGGGACGCGGCCGCACGGCGGCTCCGCCATCGCGGCTCCGCCTCAGGTGTTCCCCGGGAACCGCGGCCCCTTTACCCCGGCGGTCCCTCAAACCGGGTGCAAAAGGACAAGAAACCGCCGGCTGCTGTTTGCGGCGGGAGCGGCCCCTTTAAGCGGAGGCCCCGCCCCCTGCCGGTGGGAAGCGGCCGCCAGGCCAATCCCGGGACGGCAAAACAAGCCGCATCAACTTTTACGCGCCAAAAAAATTGAATTAGCCTATCGCTGCGCTGTATCCTTCCGCCAGCCGTGCCGGGACTAACTGCTGGGGCCGAGAAACAGTAGCAGGAGGAGAGAGTGAGGCGGCAGGATCCGGAGGGAGGCGGGGCCGGGGCGGGCAGCGCGCGGGCTTGTTGCAGTGAAGAGGCAGAAGGGTGCCCGCTCGGCCATGGTGGTCCTGAGGAGTAGCGCTGCTCGCCCGCCCGCACCAGCAGCCCGCGATAGCCGGCGCCGCCGCGCCTCCTTCGACCTCTTGGATTCCAGCTCCGAGTTCATCTCCCTGGAACCCCCATCGCTCAGCAGCCGCCGCATCTGGACGCGCTCCGGGGCCTCCTCGGTCACCACCAGGGCCGCGGGATCCAGGGGGACCAGGAGAACCGGCGAGGATGTGAGTAACCGGGTAAGGCTCTGCCTGTTGGGCTGTGGGCCCGGGTAGGGGTTTGCAGATACCGACCATGAGCCTCCGGGAGCTGTTGGGAGGAGCTGGGGAAGCCGCGTCCCCTCGCGAAAGCACCGGCGGTCGGCGTCGTGTGGAGGGAAAAACAGTAGGAGGGGGTTTATCGTAAGAGCCCGCAGCTACGGCCGCTTGTATCACCTACAGCTACGGCTGATTGTGTTCCCTACAGCTATGGCTCATCGTGCCACACCGGCTGTGTTGCCGTGTATGCGGAAGCAGCTGGTGTCGTCGTCTCCGTGCCCGCCCTCCGCAGCCGGCCGGGTCCGTCCCCGCTATTCCCCTGGCCCGCAGCTGTCAGTGGTCTGGGTACGCCGCTGTTCCAGGGAGCGGTGACAGGGCAGGGAGGGCGCCCCGGGCGGCCCTGCCCGAGTGAGCTGCCCGTAGTATTGAGGTTTGGCGTGTGTCTCTGTTGCCTCTACCTGCGTGTTTGGATATAATTTGTTACCGAAAGAGTTGTCTTTGGAAGACCCGCGAGACGGCTGTGCTGTAGTTGTGGCAGTGCTCACAGGGAGAGCTCGCTGCTCTGGTGACAGAAAAGCGTCAAAACCAGCGCTCAACACAGAATACACGGGACCTACAACCGCGTTCCAGCTGGCCTGAAGTGCCCGTGAAATGCTCTTTAGTCAGGGTTATATCGGTGTTACTTTGGACGCTTTATAAACAAAGCTCTGGTTAGAGATCAGGTCTACTTTAGACTTAATTAAAAGCACTTAACCTGACATGGTGAAAACGTTACTTGAGCTTTTGATAATTTTAATCTATCCCAGTAGAAGAGACATGTTGTGAGGGTTATGAAGTAGCCCATGCTGTCTGCATCTCCGTGTTGCTACTTTAGTAACTGAACCATTTCACTTTGAGAAGTTCATTGGTTTTAATCACGGAATAGTCAGGGTTGGAAAGGACCTTAAGATCATCCAGTTCCACCCCCCTGCCATGGGCAGGGACAGCTCACAATAAACCCTGCCACCCAAGGCTCTGTCCAGCCTGGCCTTAAACACTGCTAGGGAGCATTCACAACTTTCTTGGGCAACCCCTTCCAGTGCCTCACCACCCTCACAGTAAAGAGGTTCCTCCTTATGTCTAACCTGAACTTCCCCTGTTTAAGTTTAAACCCCTTATCCCTTGTCCTATTGCTGTAGTTCCCGATGAGGAGTCCTTCTCCAGTGTCCTTGTAGGCCCCCTGGAGATACTGGAAGGCTGCTGTGAGGTCTACACACAGCTTCTCTTTTCCAGTCTGAACAGCCCCAGGTTTCTCAGCCTGTCTTCATATGAGAGGTGCTCCAGCCCCCTGATCATTCTTGCAGCCTTCTCTGGACTTGCTCCAACAGCTCCGTGTCCTGTTTATGTTGAGGACACCAGAACTGCACGCAGTGCTCCAAGTGGGGTCTCATGGAAGCCAAATAGAGGGGCAGGATCTCCTTTTGATACAGCCCAGTGTTGGGGTTGGCTTTCTGGGCTGCAGGTGTGTTTGAAAAAAGCATTTAGCAATTGAAGGCTAAAGCTCTTCTCTGCTCTTTCCAAATGGGGCTCTTCTCAGGGTGTCCTGCCTTTCCGTAACAAATAGGCAGGCCAGCTCTAACTTGGAAGAGGTCTGCTCTTTACTAAAGCCCTGCCATGGAGTGGTGCTTGTAATGGACTCTGTTTCATTCCAGCAGAACTCTTGGGATTTTCAGTTGTGTGGTTTCTCATTATTTTCAGTGATACTGAACTAATAAGGAAGAAATCCTTAGGTCCTGGTTTGGTTTGTTGGGGTTGTTTTTTTTTTGACATGGAATCTGCTTAAAGGTGACCACTTTGCTTTTGCAGTCCACACTAGAAAGGGTTGTCAGAGGCTACAGGGAATTCAGCTGCCTTTTCCACACAGGCACACAAAGGCTGTGCAGAGCCAGGCAGGCAAAGTGGCTGGCTTGTGTTCTCAGTGTGGAGAAGAAGAATGAGGAAGCTAGCTACAAACTTTTCACTGAAACCAAAGCAGAATCCTCATTGTGAAACTGTGAGGTTGTTCTTTGGTTTTGTTATTTTCTTTTATCTTTTGCTTTGTTTTGGTTGTGTTTTTTCCCTTTTTGCAGACCCATTCTTTGAGGCACAGTCATTCTTACCTCATTTGTACGATGGTCATATTCTGCTACAGTGCAGAGACAGATACAAGTGCCCTAGATGATAAAATGACGATAATGATGCTAATTGCATGTTCAGGTCCTAATGCCTCTTTCCTGTCTTGTTAATGTGCATGACTTGGCAGTGGCAGCTCTTGAAGTTTTCATAATACCAGCAAGGGGTTTATCTTTAGTCAGCTTCTTTCATGCATACTGGGGAGCACACAGCAGGAAATCTGAGGTAAGCCAACATCTGTGTGTTTTATCTCTTCCAAGTTTTCAGTCCCAAGCAGTTCCATGGCAGGTACAAAGTGGTCAGTATCGCATTGAAAGCTGTGTGTCTACAGGTGTATAACCCTGGTGTAAGGCCTCAAGATGAACAAGATTGCTGTTGTGTGACCTGTATTTGGGGTCAGTGTGCTTCAGGGTTCCCTTTTTGTCTGGGCAAAGTGGAAACTGCTGTTTTTCCAGGCTGAGCCTTCATGACCCGTCTGTGTAGGGACATCAGCATCAGAGGTAACAGCCTCGTTACCTAAGGACCTTTATCTGTTTTGGTAATACTTCAACACAGAGTTACTTCCTCAGACATTACAGAGCTGAACACGGTTTTTGTACAGAGGCTTTTAGAAACAATTGCCCATTGCTGCCTATAGGATGAGGAAAGTAACAAAATATGAAATGCTTACAAGACTTGAAATACTTTACAAAACTCTTTAATCCAACCACCTTATCTTTGCTGTTTAGCCATTTGCTGCTTCTGAGTTTACTTCTTCAGTGTGTGTTTTCAGCCTGGTTGTGTTGATAAGAGTTAGTTACTCTTGCTCCGCTGGCTGCTTCTTGGTGTCTGCCATCTTGCTGACCTGGGATACCTTCCTACACATGGAGAACGATCACAGTTAGCAATATGCACTGTTGCTGCTTGGCCTGTGTCCTAATTTGAGCCAAGATTAAGGTAAAAAATACAGTACAAAGGGCAGTAAATATCACAGATATTACATGGTGAACATTGCATTAAAAATACATGACAACAGTGAACAGGTGTGTAAGTGCGCATAGAAAGATTTCCCTGGTCACTACACTGGGCTTTTCCTAACGTCTGTGCTGACATTCTCGGAGTGTTTGTTCTTCCTTCAGTCTGGCCTTTGGCTCAGAGATCTGTGAAATGTGTTACTGCAGTCATCTTTTAACTGATGTGGGAAACCTTTAAAGTTGCTCCCAAGGAATATTCTCACCAACAGGGAAGGGCTGGTTGGAAATGTGACGCTCCAGGGCAGCCTTGGTTGCAGCAATCATGAGATGATTGAATTTGAGATCCTCGGGACAGTGAGAAGAGTGTGTAGCAAGCTCACTGCCCTGGACTTCAAGAGAGCAGACTTTGGCCTCTTCAGGAACGTGCTCACTATGGTTTCATGGGATGTAGCCCTAGGGGGCAGGGAGGCTCAAGACTTAGAGTTTAAGACTTAGAGTTTAAGCAAGCTAAACTTTGCAGAGTCACTCCCAAGCTGGTAATTTCACAAGTGATCATGTATGTAGAAGTACAGCCTCTGACTTAAAAAGTTGGTCTTACTTGAAACTGTTGTATGTTCGGAGTAGCTGAATCTAGCTCTGTGGAGACTGCAAATGATCCTTCTTCCCTCTCTGATCAGGATGAAAACCCTTTAGTGGGATAATACACACACAGACATAAGTTTATATATGTAATATGGGCCCCTGTGATAGGTGGTGTTGGTCATTCAGTCTGTCTGTACCTGTCCCTGATGCTTGGGTGTCCCCAGGGGCTGGTTGTGTGAGCCCTGCTCCAGTTGCTGGTATTTAGACCCCACATGTATGCACACACCTACTGTGTATATCCCTCTGTAAATGTGCTCAGGCACTCAGTGTAATCAGTAACTGGTTCCAGATGGTGTGGCTTCCCAGTTACCTCAAGTGCAGATGTGTCCCTGGCCTAGACCTTAAAGTGGTCCAAGACTTAGGTGCTGTTAGTTGCACTGTAACTCAGAAGAGTTACAGAAAGAACCTGCCTAAATGAGGTAACATTGCCTTCTCAGCTCAACATACATGGTGTATATAAATGTTATTTCTTTTTTTTGCTAGGAATATTCCTCTAGCAAAATGGAATGTTTCGGTGGACACTGTTTAAGATCAATGAGAAAAAGCATCCCACCCTGTTCGGACTCTAGCTTTGACAAAAGCATGGAGATATTAAGTGAAAGTATCAATCGAAGACACTTAACAAGGTACCGTATTTTTGGGTGTTCGATCTCTGTTGAATAGTAGAACGAAAAGGAAAAGTGAAAGTGTGTACAGTGAGTCACATCATGATAAATCAGAAGCCGGCAGGGGAATATGGTTATGTTAAGACGAGTGCCAGTATCTCAGAACTAGAATTGCTCTTCGTAGAATTGCTCTTCATACAAGTCTTCTGCTTGTAGCAAAAACCATGCATCTTTTCGCAACTCCTTGTTGCTCTCTCTACTTTGGTTGTTCAGGTACTATGTGCCCCATTAGAACTTCAGCCTTAGAATGTTATGTGATGCCAGTCATTTAGAACTCTGTGCAAGTAGCAGCTGTGGACACAGCAGACTGGGGATCTGAATCCTTGTGGTCCACGGGCTTTTCTTTGCATGACTAGGAGCATGAGATCATAAACTAGGTAAAGTTCCCCAGTCGTGAGGGGGAATGTTTTGATGCAGTATGCTATGGTAGGATAGAAGGAATCCTTCTGTACAGTAATTCTGATACAGTGTCCTGTTTCTTAATGTAGGCAGTTGGCAAAGCGGAAATCAGAACAGAAAAAAAAAGACTATAAAGAAGGTAAGTAGTGGGAATTCTATAGGGTTCCTTTTTAGCCCAGTTTCTGAGGAGGATTGCACTTCATTACTCTGCCTATTTAACTTGGCCCCAGAAACATCTGAAAGCCAAAATCAGCTGAAACTGTGAGGATATCTTGAAGATAGGGAATTTCTGGTGAGTTTTATGCAAAGAGGTAGATGAAACAGTAAAGTTTAAACATAATTCAGTTGGGTGTTGTCACCGTGACATTAAATTTTAATTCAGTATTTAAAGAAAAAATCACTGCACTGCAGATTTTATGTTTACTGGTGCAGTGGTGAAATAAAGGTAGTGATGCATTTTCTAAATGTCTCAAAATACTTTCTATGGTTACTGCATTTTAGTCACCAGGACACTGAGAACCAGAGCCGAGGCAAAAGCTGCAGAACATGTCCATGAACAAAATGGAGATTTAGAGGTCCGCCGAAGCTGCAGGCTTCAACAAAGTCGTTACACCACTACAAATCAGTCCGTATTGTTTGACAAACTTATAACAAAGTACGTGGGTTTTTTTCCATCATTTCACAAAGCCACTGACATGAAACTTTTTAGCAGCATTTGTGGTATGGCGTACGCTGGCTAGGAGCTTTCTCCTTTTGACCACAGAAAGAGGTATTGCTAGTTGTGGCAGCGAGAGCTCACTGGATTCAGTGGTTAGGCTGAGACCTCCCTACGTGCCCCTGTGTATGTGATATGTCGGCACAGCTCGGAAAGGTTTGCAAAGTGTAACAGCAGCAGGGTGTTTCTGTCCAATATCTATAGCCACAGAAAATTGACGTGAAACTTAAATTACAGTTAAGAAAAGACTAAGCAACCTGTTGTCTGAGGAAGGCTGTGAACTAAAAATGACTTAATGCTATCATGCAGAAGCAGAGCAGCTTCCTGCTGTAATTTCTGTTATCTTACCAGGATCTTCATAATTCTACTTTTTTTACTAAAACAGACTTTTTTCAGATTTATTTTTACTGTGGTCAATGAGAGGGAAAAATAAATGTGGAAACAGAGCTTGCTTGCAAATCCTCAAACGCTTGTTCTTAAATCTGCTCTAAACCAGTAAACATTTGAACTAACTTTCAAGTAGTGTTTAAGAACTTGGCCAAGTGTCCGTGCCTCTGCTTTGTGCATACTCTATTAGACTGTCATACCGATTCTGTGTATTCTTGGATATATTTGGGGGTTTATACTTGCCTATCTTTGCTCTGACATGTCAACTTTTTATGTTAGTACTGCAGAAGCCGTCTTGCAGAAGATGGATGACATGGAGAAGATGTGTAGACGGCGAATGATGGAAGACCTGGGAGTGTTCAGCAACACAAATGTAGATACTGATTTATTTTATTATTCTTTTGTCTAGTGTGTTTCACATAGGGAAACCATTAGTTTGTCATTTTAATTGAACTGAAATAACTTCTTCCACAGAATAGTGTGGTCCAAAATAACACTTGGTTTTGCTCTAATTGTAATTTAACATACTGGTGTTAGTGGTCCTGCTGCAAATGGACTCTAAGGGTGGAGGAAACATCTTCCTCAGCGAACATGAAATAGCAGTGATGTCCTGAAATGCATGTCTTATACTGTGCTTTATAAATTGCTTTACGATTTTTGAATGAATGCTGTTTACAAACAGCTGTTTCAGGGCTTGGGTCTTAAATTTTACAAAACACTGAATTCATTGATGTGTGTTTGTTCTTTGCCGGCCTTGCCTGTAAGCTTAAGTAGTCTCTGTCCCTAGAGGAACTTGTGCTAAAATTCTATACAGCAGTCCTATTTTCTCTGTCTTGGCTTTGCTATATTAAAACAAGTTTTTCTGCAGTCCATCTGAATGACAGGCACTTCATTTTTAAACCTCTTCATAGCCTTCCTTTAGAGATACGAATTCCTTTGATTAGTGAAACTGGAATTGTTCATAGTACTTTGCACATCATCTCTCAAATGCCCATAGGGTTAATTTTTTTTTGTCTTCTAGAAACTGTTTTTTCCTGGCTTCTGCCAGGCTCTTTGATAATGAATGATTAATTACTGTGGTTAATTAATACACATTGGATTTTGTATGTAGAAAAGTATTTAACTCCCACATGTACCAAACCCCATTTTGGAGGAGGAATTCTTGATACTAATCCTGGGTACCAGAATGATGTTCCTATTCTCCAGTACCCTAATTTAATCTTTTGTATATATGGAGTACCCTAATACCATAAAGAGAAACCAAATATGCCCATGTCAGGTTTTCTGCATATTTGTGACTGATCTTTCTTGTTTCTTTTAATTAGGAAAACCTCAGTATGTATTCCCGAGGAAAGAAAGAAATCCAGAGAGCTGACAAAGAAATAGCTGGTAAGCAGAGGGTCATTGCAGATTAGTTCTGGTTTAAATTTTCTTTACTATGCTCTAGCCAAAAGCCTTGTCTTAAGCAATTGGGATGACCTGATTTCTCATCTATTAAAAAGTCCTTATTCTTGACATTCCAAGCCATAGTCAGGGATTCTAGGGCTGTGCTGCATTGAGCTGAGAACAGATATTCAGAGGTAAAAAAACTGGGTGCAACAGGTAGCTGTGGACAAGTGGGAATCTAAAGAAAAGGGTGGTATTACTCAGAATGAGATAGAATGACCCCACTACAGTGGGAGCATGACCGTGTGCAGGGTTTTAGTGGTACAGTGAGAATTCTCAGGAATTCAGGTAGGTTACCAGGTGTGTGTGGAAGGCTGCTCCCTAGCATGAAGATCATCAGGGGAGAAGACAGTGTGTTTTGCATTCTTATCATCTTTCATGAAACCCCCCTTCAAGTTACTTCACAGAAGCTAGTGACATAAACTGCATACTTTGGACGTTACCTTTTTGACTGGGGAAGTTCAAACCTGTAACTTGCCCATTACTGCTCCGGAGATCTGTGGCAGAGCTAGGACTTGGAGCTACATTACCATGCTCAGTCTCGCCATTCTGGAGTGTGAAATACACTTCCCTGAAACACTTTCTCAGAAAACACTTCCTGAAATAGTGGTTTTCACAGCAGCTGCATCTTGCCTAGGCAAGATGACACAATTGTTGTTACTGAGATACAAGAGCAGTCACCAGCAAATGGAGCAAGAACAGAACAGTATCTGTATCTGTGCTCCTCTGTGCTTTCTAATTGCTGGAATGTGTCTTCATAAATTGGTCTTCAGGTTCTGAAGGTTCTCAGATCTATTGTGTCATTAACATGGAGGTAGTAGTAAAACTGACAGGCACCTGTGTAGTGGGTTTTTGAATATAATTTGCAGCAGCATTTAAACGTTTTAATGTTGGTGTGCAGTAACTTCATCAGACGAAAGTGACGAGAAAGAAGATGAAGATGGTGAGCACACTCAAAAGCGTTATTTCTTTCGACAGAGGAAGACTGTGGAGCGCTACCAAGCGCCGCTGGAAAGTAAGTTATGCAGTTTCTCTTACAAGCTGCTCAAGATTTCCCCTGCAGCTAGACATGGGTAGAACACGTCACATTTTCTGCCTCTTTCACTGTCCTGCTTCCTGTTCAACTTTTCTGAAGCATTAGTCTAAATTCTTTGCTTTCAACAGAACCAAGACAACGTAAGATGGATTTTCCGGGCCAGTCTTCACCTGTCAGACAGACATGTTCATTTACAAGCGCTCAGCCGCAAGGCTCTTGCTGCAAAAGTAATAACAGGTTGGTGATGGTTAGCGATAGTTCTTATTTATCAGTAGTGCTGCCAGTCACATCCCTGAATTATGCTTTCAAGAGGCTTTGGATTGGTGGTAATTACAGATGAACAGTGTGATTATTGCTGTGGTGGTCTGAGGGTATAAAGAAAAATACTGGGGCACAAGATACGCTTTTTCTTAGCGATTAGGCTTGTTTAAAATGCAGGTTTGTGATCAGTGATAAGGTGATGATGAAGGTTGTGGCTGAGGTTGTGTAACTGAAATTCTTTTATTCTGGAATTGAAGCCAGAATCTTCCTCTGAAAATCTCAAGATTGTTTAATCTTGAAGGGTACGACTTTCTTTCTTAAAAGTGAAGATAACATTGTGAGAGGGGAGAGCCTGTATGGAAGTATTAACAGATCTTTTTGTAATCACTTAGAATACTGATTCTGTTTTTTCTTCAGAATCAGTTGATACTTCTGTACGAAACTACCCTTAAGCAAGAAAAATACTAAACTATAAATTGCAATAGTCATGACAAGGGAGTTTTGGATCCTGTAAGCAGTTGGAGCACGGAGAATGCCATCTCTTGCTGTATTTGACCATGGTCTTTAGCATCCTTGAAAGCAGATGGTTAGGGAAGGAAGACAGACTTTTAAGTAAGTTTAAAAGGTCTGTGTTTCACAGAGTGGGTACATAATGCAAAGTGAAACTCCATTTGTGTGTGTGAGAGAGATTGAAACAAGTAATTTGGTTTTGAAATTTCTTGGCAAAATAGTTTAACGTTTTCCCTTTCCAGAGTATTTTTCTGTCACAAGGGAAATCCTGTAGTTCCCTTTGAAATCATATTTATAAGAAGTACAATGCTTTAGAAACTTGAGAGAACTCTAAGTCAATTCTGAGATAGAATTTGCTTAAATTTTTACATTACTTGATATTACTTTTGATGTTACTTAGATAGAATTCACTTAAATTTTGATATTACTTAGTACTTTAATTTTCTGACTTATTTAAATGCTTGCAGACGGAAACACGCAGTCCACAGCAATGATTCCACATCCTCTTCCTCCTCATCTGATGATGATGAAGAGCATTTTGAGAGGCGTAGGAGGCACAGCCAGAACAGAAATTTAAGAAGGTGAATGAAATTGGAGAATAGGGGTGGGAGGAATCTATTGGGGTTTAATCAGTGATTCGATTTCTAGGTGGGGATGGGGAGAGGAACACTTTGATATTCATTTTTAAATAGAAGGTTGTACTGCTCCTGTGCTTTATTGTAGTTTTTTCAGAAAGAAAACCACCATAAGAATATGTAATAAAGAGAGGAAATGATGGAGGTTTTGTTACTTAACAAAAGCTCTAGAAAAGCTATTTTAGTAAGAATCTAACAAATGGGTTTTCAGCCTATTTCAGACGTGTGTGTCTTGTGGCGCACACATCCCGAAATCCCTGGGAAGGACCAGCAATGGTGGGAAGCCTTTAAACTGTTAATCCGTATGGAAATAAGTGTCCCTATAGGCTGTAACTCTTTGAATGTAGCAGCAAAAAGTCTTTGAAAGGTGTCAGTGTTTTCTGTGGCTAGATTCTTCCATCACACAATTCAAGGTCAGTTCACAGTCTCCACATAGAACAAGTTATTCTCTAAGCTTGCATTCATACCCCTACTGTGTTGGCTGGCATGGCTATTCCTAAGTACTAAGAGTTGGTAAGGTAATTAACTCTTTCATCTCTGGAATGACCATTTTCCTTTAGTTATTCATGTACATGAAATGTAAAAGCATTTACACAAATATTTAACTCTTCAGGAAGTTTATGCTCATTTACAAAGTCTTCTTCATTCATTTGCCATCATTCTAAAAGCAGAAATCTTCTGGCTGCATCTGAAGTTAGAAAGCCCTTTTTTTCTTTCTCCTTCACTCCACTCAGGTGTCTGCCACTAAACTTCCGGACAGATGAGCTAAAGGGAATTCGCAAGGATCGAATGAAAATCGGAGCAAGTTTGGCTGATGTTGATCCAATGCAAATCGATTGTTCAGTAAGTACTGCTGGGTCATGGTCTCAGTGAGAGGTTTCCAGCAGGCCCTCTGCAATTGGATTGGTTTCCAGTGTTGTACCAAGCAATTTGAAAGTTGCCCCAAACGTTTCCTTTCTGCTGACGTGAAATCGGTGATGGAATCTTGCGGAGGCTGCAGCTTTCTCTAACCTATCAAATGCGTTGTGTTGAATTTAGGTACGATTTGATGCCGTGGGTGGTCTTTCTGAGCACATTTCATCTTTAAAAGAGATGGTCGTTTTTCCGTTGCTGTACCCAGAATTCTTTGAGAGATTCAAGATCCAGCCTCCAAGGTAACAAACATTGTTCAAAACTATAGATTCTCGTTCACCTGTTTTCGGGAGAATATTCAACTGAGCTATCTTCCATGCTTCCAAATTTTCATCAGTGATGATGGGGATTCCTTAGCAGTAGTAAAAAGTAACCTCTTAACAATGAATAGAATCCAGAATGTCTGTAGGTTCTGAGATTTACTTTGTGGTGAGAATGTATCTAGAAGTGTCTTGGCTTGAAAAGCTGTTGAGGCTGTATCTAGCTGGGAATTCAGAATAGGCACCCAGCTTTGGACCTCCTCCTTGTTTATCATCAGCAATGGGAGGCCAAATCCAGTAACTTGAAAGCTTTTTAAGGGAGAGTTAAATGTTTTCCTATCAAATCTTGCCTTCTGTGACAATGAGAATGGGTATTCAGTGTAACATTGGAAAATGAACCTGTGATTCATAAATTAGCCCCGTCTCAGAATCTATGAAGTCTGTTCTTGCTTGGCTCAACTGTGCTGTAACCACCCCTGTTAGTTTGTCACCAGGTTTGGAAGTGTCCTTCTGGGATATCAGGATCTTTCTTGAGGTTTTGTGCACGTGCATTATCCTCTTTGGTTGCTTCATTTTCTGCCTTGTTGAATTGTGTAGGATCACAAGACTTCAGCTGTTACTGCTGTGTGTGTGGTTTGTTTAGGAGAGGAGAGTTGTGTGTTTTAGGGATGGGGGTTGTAATACTGTTTATTGTAATGACGTTTTCTTACAAAAATCTTCTTTTTGTGACTTTTATGGGTTTTTGTTTGTTTTAATTGCAGGGGCTGTCTGTTCTATGGTCCGCCAGGGACTGGAAAGACACTGGTTGCTCGTGCCCTTGCTAATGAATGTAGCCAAGGTGACAGGAGAATAGCCTTCTTTATGAGAAAAGGTGCTGACTGCCTGAGTAAATGGGTGGGGGAGTCTGAACGACAGCTTCGCTTATTATTTGATCAGGTGAGGTTGAAACACGCCCTGTGTTCTGTCCGAGTGGTAATGGTAATTTTCTGCTGTCAATGCTTTTAAGGACTCAGTCTTTTTCATGTTTTGTCAGTTCCTTCCACCGAAATGGGACTGAGTTCCATTTTTTTCTGTGGGTTTTTTTCAGGTGTGAAATCTTGAGATTTATTGGGAAAGATGAAACAAATGAGAGTAGCTCACACAGCAACCCCCTCAAACTGCAACCAGGCACCCAAAAAAGGTTTAAAGAGTCAAGAGATGGTGGCTTTAGATCAGAGGGAAACAGATGCAGGGTCAAAGTATGGCCATTTAAATTCACAATGGAATCTTTCTTCCAGAACCTATAATTGAATTGAGTCCCTGCCCTGTTCTTGGTAGTTGTCAAAGAGCTGTAGAAACTACTGGTGTGATTTGTTTGCTGTCACCCAGTCTCAGTGGCTGAAATAAACCGCTGTCTTCTGTTAATCATGCCACTTCCTGCATTAGCTCAATCTTTAAAGATCCCTGGTGCTAGTCTGAAAAGCCCAGTTCCAGTGACTTTTCCATCCGTAATGTTTTTCATGCTTTTTCTCCTTACAAGAGTGCTGGTTTACTTATGCCAGTATTCCTGTGTTTGCATTCTAGGCCTACCAGATGCGTCCTTCAATTATTTTCTTTGATGAGATAGATGGTCTTGCTCCTGTGAGGTCCAGTAAACAAGACCAGATTCATAGGTAATGCATTTTTTGTGCCTCCATAGAAGTTGCTTGAACTTTTTACAAAGAAGACCAAAACGTATTTCAGTTTGTGACACATAGATTTATTCTAGGAACTAGATACTCAAGCACTAATATGCCAGGCGATTTATAAACAGTAATAGAAAACAGTTTGTGAAGCTTGGTATCAGCACAAGGTCTGTGTTACCTTATCTGTTTATGTCTTAAAATGAGCCTTTCCTAATCAGCATCTCTTCAGCTAAAGCTTGCCCTTCTTGAGAGTTTGTTGGAGAAGGTCATGTGGAATATAAGAGAAGCCACTAAACCAGTGAATGAAAATTGTATTTTTCTGTTAGCTCTATTGTGTCGACACTTCTGGCACTTATGGATGGCTTAGACAGCAGAGGAGAGGTTGTGGTGATCGGAGCCACCAACAGATTGGATTCTATAGATCCGGCTTTACGAAGACCCGGACGCTTTGATCGGGAGTTCCTCTTCAACTTGCCAAATAAAGAGGTCAGAACTTCAACTCAGCCTTACTGCTAATGTGGCAAAGTCCATCTCTGTAACACAACCTCCTAATGATGCAGTTAGAGTCAAAATCAGTGTTGTACAACTCAGACAAAAGAGGGGGATGCTTGGAGAGACTGCCTTGTATTGTGGAGGGCAGATCTGATACTGGATATCTATGAATAAGGTGATTTCAAGGAGTTCGCTCGATCATGAGGTTTCGCTTCACTCTGGCCAGTCAAGACAATGGGATGCTGCTATTTGCTGGAAAGATAACAATTAATGCATGAATTAGTTATAGATCACTGCTGTTGCATCTTGAAAATGTAAGAAACGATGTGCACAAAAAGTGCATTGTCGCTAGTCTCTGTATCAGGAAACACTTAAATGAAAGTCTTGCTGAGATCAGAGATAAAGATAGGCAATGGTTGTCATTCTCTGGATCAGTGACAGTAGTTTGAGTCCTAAATATTGTTCTTCTTTGTAGTAATTGTAACAACGTGAAACTTAGTGCTAGGACTGTTTTCCTTGAGTAAACTGGCAGAAAAGCAATGATGAACTAATGAGAGACTGTCAGCATGAAATTGTGCAGAGTTTGAGAGGATTCTCTTTGATGAAACATTCTGTTTGCAGATAAGGTTGGGGTTTTTACTACTTTTTTTTCCTCAGGATCACTAGATCTTATGCTTGTGGAAACCTGGTTTTCAGGGAAGGTACAAAAGTCTTTTTCTGGGGGCCTGCACTGCAACAAGAAGTGAATGTGACAGGTTAAGAATTATTAAATATCCTGCTTGCAAAAGCAAAGAGCACATGAACTGAACTTTAAAATACCTGAAGAGCAGCAGATAAGAAAAGTATCTGCACTAATGTAAGGGGTTCTGGGGTTTTGTGGTGGTTGGTTTGCCTTTTGTTTGTGGGGTTTTTTTGTACAAGTGAACTTAGGATGCAACTAAAATGCAACCATTTTTGTTTCCAGGCCAGAAAAGAGATTTTCAAGATTCACACACGAGACTGGACCCCTAGACCACTGGACACGTTTCTTGAAGAGCTGGCTGAGAAATGTACTGGTAGGTTTGAAAACCAAGTGAGTTACTGCGTGTGACTGAGTCCTGAGAAGTCTGAGCTAGTACCAGGCAGTACCTGAGCTCTTGTGCCTCGCTGCAGAGCGAGGCAGTGAGGCAGCTCCACACCTTGGGAGCAAGCAAAGGCAGATGCTGCCTTTGTTGTAAGTTTTTTGTGTCTCTCAGAGCACTGACGGGGTTTGGGAGATACTCCTCAGGAGCAAAGTCGTGGCTGTTTCATAAGCACAGGATATCAGTCACGTAACATCTCTGCAATGCAGTAACTCTTTAAATTCTCTCCTCACAGGTTAATTTTTGGCTGCCTACAAAGTATTTTGGTTGTTGCACTTTAGCAACCTTTGCCTTGCCTTTTGTTTTGCCTGAGACTGACATAACATTTGATTCTTGTTTTGTTCATTAGGATACTGTGGTGCTGATATTAAATCCTTATGTGCTGAAGCTGCACTCTGTGCTTTGCGCCGCCGCTATCCTCAGATATACAGAAGTAGTGAGAAACTGCAGTTAGATATCGCTTCTATTAAAATAACAGCAAAGGATTTTGTCATGGCTATGCAGAAGACTGTTCCAGCTTCACAGAGGGCTGTGGCTTCACCTGGGCGAGCACTGTCACCTATTGCAAAACCACTGTTTGAAAACACACTAGCAAGAATCTTACAAGCCTTGCAGAGAGTATTTCCCCACACAGAGCTTGCGCTAAAGGACCAACAGCAAGGTATATCAAGAACAACCCCTTTGGTAAAATTCTGCCAAAGCAAAAGCTGCTGATTTGTGCCATCAATCTCTGGGCTGTAATGGCAGTAGAATTTTAGAACAGACACGTGCATGGTCTTGCATGTGAGATCAGAATGTTTTAGTGGTGTGTACTTGGGGTTTGGCTTGCATAGCATACATGAGTTCACACTCCTGACTGCATCAGCCCTGATCGTAGAATCATAGAATGGTTTTGGTTGGAAAGGACCTTAAGGTCAAGTTCCAGCCCCCTGCCATGGAACACCTCACACTAAACCGTGTCACCCAAGGCTCTGTCCAGCCTGGCCTTGAACACTGCCAGGGATGGAGCATTCACCACTTCTTTGGGCAACCCATTCCCGTGCCTCACCACCCTTACAGTAAAGAACTTTGTCATTATACCCAATCTAAACTTCCCCTGTTTCAGTTTAAACCCATTACCCCTTGTCCTATCGCTACAGTCCTTGATCAGGATTAGTCTGTTGGTGAGAGCAAGTAAATCGATAAACTCATTTCGATCCTGATTAATGGAGATCCATGAATAATTTATTGTGCTAATCCATGGAGAATATCCATCCTACCAGTACTACTCCCAGTGGAGCTGGTAGAGCATTTGCCAGTGTTAAAACAGAAACCCACCATCAAAGCAAAAGCAGAGAGGCTAGGGGATGGGTTGTTGCATCCTGTTTCTGTTGTCCACCTTCCATTATCTTCTTTAGGAGAAGATAATCCTGTTTCTGTTGTCCACTTTCCATCCTCTTCTTTGAGGAGCCGTATATAGAGGATGTTGGTCTGTATGTTCTGACTTGCTAGTCCTAGACAAATGGAAGTCTGTGGCCATGGCATTCACTTCATTTCCCCATGTCCGGCTCCAGAAAGAATTGGCCTTGTTGAGGTTTTCAGGTGTTGAGGAACTTCAGAGGTTGTTCCTAATCCTCTCTGTTGTAAGGGAAAAGCCTCCAAGTTTTCACCAATGCAGAGAGAATATCTTAGGCAAATCATGGGACATGGGACAGCTTTGTTCAGACCTGTGTAATCTCCTTAGATTTGTGGTAGAATGAGCTCTACAGAAAATAGCAGTGAGTGCCCTTAAATGAAGAAATACAAGATAAGTGTTTTCCAATGCTGATTTAGAAGCTCTGTTAATGTGAGAGCAAGGTACAGACTGTTCAGGAAAGTTAACAAACCTCTCTTGCCTTTCAGACAGTTTAAATCCCACTTTAAGAAATGATGTGATTGACAGTGATGCGGAATCACCACCAATCTTTGAAGAGAATCCAACTCATAAAACACCTGGTAGACAACCGGAAAGATTCCTCAACTTTGGCAGGTAATTGTTTGTCCCCTTTATGTTGTCAATATGGCTGGGTGTGGAAACAGTTCTGGTGTGAGGGGTGGTAGATGAAGCATTTTGCTGCCATAAGCCATCACAGTGAACGTTCCTGCCCTCTTTTCCCAAGTCAAAAATGGTCCACAGACTATGGGAATGTGTTAATTTAGTGCATTGTATTGCTTGAAAGACTCAAGACTGAAGAATTGGGCTCTCTGTCCCTCTAGATAAAAGCCACCTATGGATTTGTGTAGCCATCTTTTGCCTTTCTGCCTTCCAAGATTGTTAAACCCGTAGCAAATTATGTAGCAGAAACGAAACTGAGAAATGGTTTGTTAAAACATTATGAGGAGAGCTTACACAATGGCTGCAGTTTGTACCTTGAACCTGCTAAGCTTTTGTGAACCTTTTGGTAGCTTAATGTGAAAGTCATATAAGCCAACAGTTGCAAAACAGATTGATTTCATCCTTGCTGGGTCAGTTATTTTTGTCACTTTCTTAACATTCATCACTTCATTTCTTTAACTTGTTTTTTCCTTACTGTTCTAGAAATGTTTATTACCAGCCAACATCTTGTAGGCCACGGTTGTTACTAGTGGGAGAGCCAGGATACGGGCAGACTTCTCATTTGGCACCTGCGGTAATACACGCCCTGGAGAAGTTTCCAGTTTATACACTAGACCTATGTATGTTGTTGACAAGCAGCACCTCACCAGAAGAAACGTGTGCACAGGTATCTCTTTTTTCCCCTCTTTAATCTCATAGCATTCATGAACTGTTTCTAAACTCGTAAAGTAAGCCAAATTCACTGTTGGTGGAGGCAGTTTGGTTTGAATGTGCTCTTACATTTCCTTCTGTCTGAAAAACGCACTTTTCTTCCAGATCAAATGATATCAAAGAAGTATATTATACGTGGCCATATTTTCCAGTCCAAATTAAATAGTGAGGATATTGTAGCAGCTCGAGAAGGTGGGAGGTGCTGCTAATAAACCCCTCTCTATGGCAAGAAATACTGCTGGTCTCAGTGGGATCCAGGAAGTTGTTTCTGTTGCCTCACAAGAACCTGTGCTCCCAGTAGATGGCTCTGCATCAGCCTGACTGTGTGTCAGGCACTTGTAGCTGCCTTTTTTGTTAAGACTTAAAAGGCAGTGGAGGTTCTGGGGGTGAAAGAAGCATTATTCTTTTTTTTTACATAGGCAGTTTCTAGTGCTGGAGTGTGTGCAGTCGAAGTATTAAAATTCACTGACATTTGTACACAGGTGAATATATCTCTTCACTAGGAAAATTAATCAGATACTGATAATATTGATATTCTGAATATTGATCATCTGGATATCTGAATATTGATAATCTGAAAGGGTGCATGGAGGAATTTGTCATGTGAAAGGACAGTTCCCACTTCCCTCACATGGTAGATGCAAGTTGTCTTCTGTGATTGAGCTACAATCCATATGCATTGGCTTGTGGTCTCCCAAGACACATAATCTGGCCTCATGCATTGTTGTTTATTGGCCCATGGGTTGGTTTTCTTATCCAAGCTTTCATTTTGCCAGTTGATGCGAGAAGCTCAGAGGACGGCACCCAGTATAATTTATATCCCACATATCCATTCATGGTGGGAGGCTGTTGGAGCTACACTGAAAGCTACTTTTACAACACTACTGGAGAACGTTCCAACATTTGCTCCAGTTCTGCTGCTTGCAACATCTGATGTGCGTCACGCGGATCTCCCAAAAGAGGTATTTCTGGCCATACTTTTCTGAATGCTTTTTGTTCAGTTTCTTGCTTATAAATAAATCCTTTAAGCATTGGAGTTCTGTGCACTCTGAAGGAAATTCACACAGTTATTCCTCGGGCATCCAAACCAGGTCTCTTAAAATCTGCTTAGACAAAACACTGCTGAAAGCACTTGTTTAAAGTGGTTTTGGAATAAAGAGACTGACTTTGACCCAACTTTTTCTCCCTTCTCTCACACTCATGCTTATTAGACATATGTATAACTTCAGACAATAAATTCCAGTGACTACAAGATGGTTGGGTATGTACTTAGTCAGGAATATCCAGTGCTTGAAATGGAAATGTGGAAAGGAAGTTTGACAGAGTAGAAAGAGAATTTTCATCTTCTCTTTAAGTCACCTGGAAATCAGTTGTTGTATTTCTTGACAAAATTCAGTAAGAGGACGTGCTGCGCTGTTTGGGCATGTGAGAGTGTGCATGAAAGGAAGGTGCTCAACATGGCAATCTGCTGCTCTGATTATTTTGCCTCATTTCCCTGGGGACAGGAGGAGGGCTTACCTAGATGTGTTTTCTCATCAAATGCTTTGAAAGGGCTTCACTTTCTACACAGCTTTTTATACTGTTTAGAAGTTCTTTTTAAAAGAAGGATTGAAATTCCTTCTGTGCCTTTTGGGAGCAGAGATTACAAAAATGGAGTAGAACTTGGAAGTATGCGACTTCAGACACCTCATTTTAACTAAAGTCATAAAGAAACCCAAACCAAACCTCCATCCCTTTACTAAAAGCCTGCCTCTTCCATCTACAGCTGCCTTAAAGTTTTAAACTAAAGGACAGCAAGGAGGGTAAATACGAAATGGAGAGTCCTGGAGGTGGTGCTGAATGTCGCTACTTCATCAGTGTACCAGATGGTCTTTTCATTGAGCTGCAACTCCAGAGGTGTTCCTCAGAGAAGATGTTTTCAGTTGCTGTGCTAACCTGTGAAAATCTGGCCTTTCAAGGCCAAGTGGATGATTTTTCACAGTTTGCCTTACAGAAGCACAGGACAGTTAGGGTGGGAAAGGACCTAAAGATCATCTAGTTCCAACTCCCCTGCCATGGGCAGGGACACCTCACACTAACCCATGTCACCCAAGGCTCAGTACAACCTGGTCTTGAACACTGCCAGGGATGGAGCATTCACAGCTTCCTTGGGGAACCCATTCCAGTGCCTCACCACCCTTACAGTAAAGAATTTCTTCTTTATCTAGCTAGGTCTATTTGATTACCTAGTCTAGGTGATTATCTAGCTTCATTTAAACAGGTACTCCCCTTTTTAGAATAGAACGTGCATTTGCGTGGCCTTAGATCTGAAGTATCTTTTCTTCTCCTGCTTTAGATCAAAGACTTATTTAATGACAGCCATGAAGAAGTTTTCAAAATCCAGCTGCCTGATAGGCAAGAAAGAGGAACGTTTTTTCAGGACTTAATTGTAAATCAAGTTGCTAAGCCTCCTGCACCCAAACCCAGCGCAGGTGAGAGTATTCTGCGTACAAACTTTGCTACCTAAGTTCATAGCTGTGCAGTAGTTGCTTTGGTGGTAATTTTCTCTGAGTAGTTTTTCATCTGCTTGTGTCTGAGTACCATAAACTGACTGAAAGTTTACTATTCATTTAAGCTTGGCGTCCATTGGAAGAGCTGCCTGTAGCACCACCACCTAAGCCTCGACAATTGACAGAGGAGGAAAGAAGGCAGCTGGAGGAGCAGGAGGAGGATACATTGCGTGAACTCAGGATTTTCCTAAGGGATGTGACTCATAGACTTGTCATTGACAGACGTTTCAGAGTATTTTCAAAGCCTGTTGACCCAGAGGAGGTAAATGAGATATACTTCCAAGCCAGCTGTAGTCTTATAGAGCTTTGTGTTTCAGCAAAGTCCTGTTCCCATCAGCATCTACCGACTTCTCTTTCCTTTTACTTCTACTTGGTTTCTATTCTTCAAATCTTGGAAGCACAGATGTCCTCATCTGAACTAGTTGTTAGGCTCCTTTTATGGTCTGAGTAAAGAAAGCTGCAGCCCTCAGTCCACTTAGCTCACTGTAAAGCAGATGCCTAAGACAGATACTTGAAAGGTACAGTTCTTGCAATGTTTTTCTTGCTGCCAACAGCAAAGAGAATATGGGGTGACTTCTGTGAGAGTTTTCTTTCCTGTGGTGAAGTGAATCCTACTCTGGGTGTCCGTTCCTTTCTCTGCCCACACACATGCTTCTTCCCTCCCTGCTTCATTTTTTCCCTCTACTGGTCTGTCTCTCTGAAGCCAGTCAAAACAACCCTTTCATTTTCAAGGAAGTAACTCTTCAATGTAAACTGAAACTATCTGGTTAAATGAATCTTTGTATGTGTCGTAAATACTTGAGGGTTTTAAGAAGTCCTTTGTTCGGCTTCATTAAAATCATTAATTTTGGGAGACACTGTGTTAAATCTGAGCATGTTATGTTTCATTTGTAGGTACCTGATTATAACACAGTTATCAAACACCCCATGGACCTTTCAACAGTTCTGTCCAAGATTGACTTGCACCAGTACCTAACTGCAGGAGACTTTCTAAAAGACATTGATCTAATCTGTAGCAACGCGTTAGAATACAACCCAGATAAAGAGCCTGGAGGTGAGGATGTGTTTTTATCCCCAATTTGGAAAAAATTAAAATGTATAAATTGATGAATGTCACCTGTGGCCAGCAGAGATGGGATTACATCATTTGAAACATCCACAGAGCAGCATTGCTTGCCAGGTTGTAAATGTTGTAGCATTAAAATACTTGGGTGTGGAACTGTCGCAGAAGAGTTAATCAGAAACTCTTTTGCTGTAATAATTAACTTATTACAGCAGAAGAAGAGAACCCTTCAGAAGCTACCTGTGAGAAGAGCAAAATCTTTTTGTCTTAGTAATCGAAATGGAGGATGTCTTTGGCTGGTAAAAAATGCTCAGTTCTGACTGTTGAAATTTCAGATCGTCTCATTAGGCACAGAGCTTGTATTCTGAGGGACACTGCGTATTCCATAGTGAGGGAAGAAATGGATGAGGATTTTGAACGATGCTGTAAAGAAATACAAGAATCTCGTAAGGAAAGAGGTATGGGTTTTGACACTAAGGGTTTTAAGACTTGTCTCTGTATTTGTAACCAACAGTGCACAACACAATTCTTTGTCACCTCTCTTCTATTGCAAGGTTGTAGTTCATCCAAGTATGCTCCGTCTTACTACCATGTAATGCCAAAGCAGAACTCTGCTGCTGGGAGTAAGGGAACGGACCCGACGTGTAGTGATAAACTGAAGGTGCCAGCAGAGCCTGTATGCTTCAGTACACCCTCCTCTAAAGGCAAGTTGTATTTTATTCATGCTTCCTTAGAGAAGGTGCTAATGCTACTGCTACCTTCTCTGTTCTTGGAACTCAGCAGGTTTGTGTGATGCCTGGTTCTTCATGCCAAAGGCATTGCATTTTTCAGTTTGCTCCCCTGGATGAGATAGATGCATTCATTCAATCCAGTTATGAAGTTCAAGTGCGGTGGTTGTCTTGCACTGTAAGAGCGTGGCCTTTGTAGCCCACTGACATTTAATGGCTCTTAAATGTTGAAGTCTCTTGAAGTCAGAAATGTAGTAGGTGGCAGTTTCTGAATCCGCAATGAGTTTCCAGTTACATGAAACAGTATTTTTCCCTTCCCTGCCCTCAGATGCTAAACTCTGTGCCACCTCTTACTGTGATTCCCAATTGATGTGGGAAAAGGGAAAAACGAGGGGAGCAATACAAGTAGCTCTGCAAAGGAAGAATCATTATTTCCTCACTTTTCCTGTGAAAGGAACATAGAATCATAGAATGGTTTGGGTTGGAAAGGGCCTTAAGGTCATCTAGTTCCAACCCCCTGCCATGGGCAGGGATGCTCCACACTAGACCGTGTCGCCCAAGACTCTGTCCAAGAAACAGCGTGGCTTGGGCCTCATTCAGTTAAAAGTGCATGACATGGTGTGAGGTTTGCTGGTCTCACTGGCATGACTGGGGATTTTGCCAGCAGCTTCACCCATCAGCTCTGTGTATGCAGAGAATGGTGGTTTTCTGGAAGGCAGAAATGGGAAGTTTGTTTTACATGGGCTTACTGGAATCAGCTGATGAGGTGTTTGTCTTTATGCACAATTTATTCTTCAGCAAATACTCCCTTCAAATTGTCTCTAACTCTGCCCATTATGTGTTTTAACTTCTGGAGTTTACTGCATTAGAACAGATTTGAAGGGCTTGTCTCCAAATGCTTTTCTCTTCATCTGTATCCGTTCACATCGTAAGACGGCAACTTGATCTAATAATTCTGCTTTGCAGCAATACTTTTTATCCAAAGTAAGAATTTGCTGCTCTTAAGATCGTGAAGCTGATGGTTTTGTGAATGAAATGCTGTAGCTGCCTTTTTAAAATCTAACAGCAAATCGACCTCGGTAATGTGCAGCTCTTTAGTCTCTGAACAGATGCAGGAGAGAGAGAATGGTACTTGAGCTCCTTTGGTCATTTTCCTTGAACGTCAAGTATGATCAGGATGCTGGATGTGGAAGGAAAAAAGTTTTGGGTTACATTTCCTGTTCCCTTTTTGTAGATACGGAAAAAAGAAAACGCAAAAAGAAGAAAGTGCATTCAAGTATCGCAAACAAGAGGATGAATTTTCAGTTCAATAAAGAGAATAAAGTTCCAGAAGAGCAAAATGAAGTAGAGAGTGATGAGGAGTTAGAAACAGGAAGACCTCTTTATACCAGAGATCACAATGAAGGGGAATCCACACAGGATTCTTCAATGGATGAAAATGAAAATGTCCTGCAGGAACAACACAAGAATGTGAATGAAAATAAAGCTGGTCCAACAGGTAATTTAGGTCTTTTTTTTCTCCCTGAGGATTACACAATTGTTTGGGTTTCAGCCTCCTTCAGTTCCATTCTGTTAGTTCTGTTGTATCTCTGAAGTTAACACGCAGAATGGTGCTGCCCTTCTAGCTCTGCCAGCCAAGCTCCCCTTCTGCTGCAGCTGCTGGGGTTTTGATTCTGAAGCCTGTTATGCAAAAACTTGACAAACAGCTGTCGACTTCCTTTTTTTACATGAGTATCACAATGGGAGATATGTTTCCTAACACCATGCAGTGCTGTGATGGCAACAGGATGGTATCTTTTTTGCCCTGTTTTTACCCTGCCTTTTTCTCCAGTGCTTTTTTTGAGCGTCTCTTTCCAGTTTTGATGGAGCAGTGACTTTTGCCAGGAAGCAAGTAAAAGTCAAGAGTTTCTCAGTGGAAAAAACGGTAACAGTCCTGTGTCTGTCCTTTCAGAGAGAGGCTGTGTTCCAGGTAGAGGATACTTCACTAATCCTGTATTCCAGATAAACAGAAATCCTGACTAAAGGAATCCGTGTCGTTGCAGATGTGTGGGTGCCCCGTGCGGTTCGTGCGAGGCGTTCTGGGGGAGAAGAGCGAACGGCAATGGGTGTCGAGAAAGCGATTGAAATTCCCAAGCAGCCAGTGGTTGTGGATTACTTTGAACTCAAAGTAAGTCTGATTTTACTTACTAATACTGAAGTAGCTACATGTGCGGTTGTAACTGAAGTCAGTTGTTAACTGATGCACATTAAAGCAATTTATGAGAAGGATACCTAAGTTGTGAAATAATTCAGCCTGTGATGCACTATGACTGTCATGTTTTCACGCCAGGTATAGACTGCTCTTCTTGCTTTTGTGAGCTAAGTTTTAGGAGACTGGATTCTCTTCCTGACTTTTAATTTAAAGGGGCTTGTGGAATTGTGAAACAGTCGCCTGACAGCCTACTAGTACTGTTGGTTATTAATGCATTAACAGTTTTTATGATGGATTTGGGAGTTTTGCTTTGGTATTTGCGTGTCCTCAAAAGGACCTTTATTTCTAGCAGTGATCAACTTAACCCTGAAGTTGACGTAAAGCTTATCATGACAGGACAAGGGGGAATGGCTTTCTACTGAAAGAGGGTAGGTTTAGATTAGATATGAGGAAGCAAATCTTCCCTGTGAGTGTGGTGAGGCACTGGCACAGGTTGCCCAGAGAAGCTGTGGCTGCCCCATCCCCAGCAGTGTTCAAGGCTGCAGTCATGTATGTGGCAGCAATTGGAAATAGTTTCACAGGGGATTGTCATGGAACCAGTAAATTGAGGCTGAATGATATTTACTGTTCCAACTCAAAGCTGTACCACCAGTAACTCCACATTCAGGGTGGCACAGCTGTATCTAGAAGATCTGCAGCCTGGCTTCCAAAGATCCAGTTACAGCACCCTTGCATGGCAGCCACAGCTGCTCTGATGGAAAGCAACAGTGGCTTAGCAGTGGCTGCTGCTCTGTAACCAAGTGGGTTATGTTATTCCCTGCTGTTCTGGAAACAGCTGATTTGGAATGAAGATCATCGGTTGGTAATAAGATACTGTCTGAAAATTAAACTTTCCTTTTCTGTGAAGTATGGCAAATTAACTCATTTTCTCCAGTTCAAGCTTCCGAGATACTGAATCCCGTCTCTGAAGTGTCACTTGTATTTTATTTTAGAATAGAAGAAAGTAGGATGTCACTTCTGTTGTTATTGTTTAGCTTCCCAAAACATGGAAAACCCTGTTCAAAGGCTCTCGCACTAGAATTCTAAAGTTGTATTTCCCTCATTCTTTTTTCTTCAGCAACTGTTGCATTTTGTCACCATGATAACAAAGAACTTCAACGTTACGCAGCTGGAAAAACTCTATGCAGTTATCTGTCAGTGCATTTACCAACACCGGCAAGATTACGACAAAACTGAATTAGTAAAGGTGAATTGTTTTTGTCTTCTGGCACTTTCTATCACTGTCCTGTTGTCTTTGGCATAATCTTTGGCTGCTTTAGTAGGGAAAGCCTTGACGTTGCAGGTCCACCCTGGCAAAGCAGTTCACCTCAGTCTGTCAACAGCTCTTCTCCAGATGCTTTCTAGGGCTGTGGGCTATGGAAGGAGGGTGCTTTTCTCAGTCTGTGGCTCCCTCTTTCTCCCCTTGCAGGCAGTCAAACATGGCAATACTTTGTATTGTAGTCATGCCATTCTTGAAAGACAGGAAGTGTGAGACATAACAGGAGTGTGAGACTTTTCTCTAGTCTCACCATAATCTCTTTTTACCTAGCAGGGCTTGAGCATCCTTCGTTTGACATACAGGGAGATTCCTGCCTGTGACCATTTAATGGTAGTGAGTCAGATTCCCTGACCTCTTCCTCTAAGAGACGATTCCGAGTTGTCAGAACTCAGGAAGAATCTTCCATAGGCTCCCATGGTCCCAGCCAGGGATTCCCAGTATTGACTCGATTTGAATAGGCAGAATATTCAGATACAGACTCATACAGTCCCTCTTGCCTACACGATTTTTGGACGTGAAAGGATGCATTTGAAGCTAGTGGGAATAGGAAGGTGTTGGGATGGTGGCAGCACATGGATTTGTTAAATATAACAAACTCCTCCTGTATGTGCACATTATTTATTCTTTCTTACAAACAAATAAACAGGGTTCTCCAAGATTTTATTCATGCTAACTGCTGCTTTGTCTTCTTTTCTCGTTAGGAAATGAAGAAAGAGATTGCAGCCTTCACGTACTCTGAGTGACTCTTGATTTTGGACTGAAAAGACTTCTTGCTCTAGTTTCCTCCTCGTTGCAGAATTCATTAAAGCTTACTTCTACATATATATTTATATAAAGATATATTTGTTTAAGATTAAGAAAGCTCAAATAAAGTCTTCTAATTGCTTTATCTTTTTGTCCTGTCAGTGTATATGTATGTGACATACTGCTGAGATTGCTTTTGGAAACGCTGCAGATCTGAACTTCTACATAACTTAAGTACCTCTCTTTAAAAGAAAACAATCAAATATTTCTTTGATAAGCCTTTTTCATCATTTTCCAGCTTCTGGAAATGTGCTTTTCTGAAGTATTCAGGTGCCGTGTATTCAGTCTGTTGTATATGACAAAAAGGCTTTAAACCAAATCTCTTGTTTGGTATATGAATAGTCAGTTCTTTAGAAACATCTTAATGCAGTTTGAAGGTAGTGATAGCGGAATAGACTCCACAACTTTGTTAAAGGAAGTTGTGGAGTCTATTCCGCTATCAGTAGCATTGTGGGGGGTTTTAGTTACCTCATCATACGCCAAGTTGCTTTCATAGAATTAATAACCTAAAGAAAGCATGTGGGAGAAACACTCCTCTCACAAACCTGAGAGCTTTTTTTGTTGCATACTTTTGCCTATCGATACCACTTAACTTGAAACAAAATCAAGATCAACTAAGTTTCTACAGTAAAGTTTAGTCTTGTTTGTAATAATGGCAATCTTCTTGATAGTGGATGTCACGGAAGCAGTAAATAGAGGCTAAAAGCACTGTGTTACTGGAACTTGGTTAAAGCTCCACTAATGTTAACTCCACGTTTGTGATGCCACATGGATTTTTCACTACACTGCTGATTCTTCATGTTGATGGCCAGTGATCCAAAATGTGCAGCCACTCACCTAAATGGGAGGCTCTCGACCTCAAGGAGCTCCCTTGGATGATGTCCTGACCCAAGGGGAGAGTCCCCAACTCTAGCCCTGCTGCTCTGAGGAGGAGCGACCCCGAACAGCTACCCAAGGGGCTCCATTTCTACCCTGCTCAGATCTGAGCTGTGGTCAGATGTGGTCACCTAGCCCCCATGGGCTCAGTTTTCCTGGGCTCTTGTCTGTTGGGGGAAGCTTTTGCAGGCTTTGGTCAGGGCTTTTGTCAGAGTGGGTGCAGCTGCCACAGGGATGTTGACCATCCACCTCTGACACATCCTACCTTTCTGTTTGCACCAGCCAAAAGCATGTTGGATAGAATGAAGTTGAGGGGAATACTCAAGGGTTGCAGTGGATGCTCTGAGGGAGGCAGACTTTGATGAGAGGCAGTTGTGAGGCAGTAATGTTTTCATTTGGTATGGTTGCTCTCTTAAGCTACAGCTTCAGAACATCACACAATACACAACCAGTTAATGGGTGAAGGTGAGCGCCTCAGGATCCTTCTGTTTGCAGCTGGCATGGCTGTATCTAGAAGATCTGCATGTACATAGAAGATCCATCTAGATACATCTGCATGTATCTAGAAGATCCAGAGATCCATATACAGCATCCTGCATGGCAGCCACAGCTTCTCTGATGGAAAACAACAGTGGCTTTGCTGTGCCTGCTGCTCTATAACAAAGCAGGTTGTGTCACTGCTGTTCTGGAAGCAGTTGATTTGGAATTACGATCGTTGATGCGATAGCTTGAGTAGTAATAAAATAGTGTCTGAAAATTCAACCTTCCTTTTCTGTGAAGTATGACAAATTAACTCATTTTCTCCAGTTCAAGCTTCTGAGATACTGAATCCCGTCTCTGAAGTGCCACTTGTATTTTCCTTATTTTTTTTTTTCCTCAGCAACCGTTGCATTTTGTCACCATGATAACAAAGAACTTCAACATTCTGCAGCTGGAAAAACTCTATGCAGTTATCTGTCAGTGCATTTACCAGCACTGGGAATATTACGACAAAACTGAATTAGTGAAGGTGAATTGGTTTGTGTCTTCTGGCACTTTCTATCACTGTCCTGTTGTCTTTGGCATAATCTTTGGCTGCTTTAGTAGGGAAAGCCTTGACCTTGCAGGTCCACCCTGGCAAAGCAGTTCACCTCAGTCTGTCAACAGCTCTTCTCCAGATGCTTTCTAGGGCTGTGGGCTATGGAAGGAGGGTGCTTTTCTCAGTCTGTGGCTCCCTCTTTCTCCCCTTGCAGGCAGTCAAACATGGCAACACTTTGTATTGTACTTATGCCATTCTTGAAAGACAGGAAGTGTGAGACATAACAGGAGTGTGAGACTTTTCTCTAGTCTCACCATAATCTTTTACCTAGCAGGGCTTGAGCATCCTTCGTTTGACATACAGGGAGATTCCTCCTGTGACCATTTAATGGTAGTGAGTCAGATTCCCTGACCGAGACGAAGTCCAAGTTGTCAGAACTCAGGAAGAATCTCTTCCCAGGGTCCTAGCATTTTAACAGACACCGTTAGGGCAGGTACAGTGGCTTGTAGCTGAATTAAACCACAGAATTCTAGGTACCTGGAGAGAATTGTATCTCTTTGTTTCATTGGAGTTCATGTATTGTTGGTGTAAGTATATTTAAGCACAAGTAAAGCAATACCCTGGTTTGGAAATGTATGCCCCATTACACCAGCAGATAAAATTTCTCTTGTTTGATTTGTCAGAAAATTACAATAAAACAGACAAACAGAATACATTTTAGTGTGTTTTGGGATCAAACAAGTGGCAAAAAACGTGGCTGTTGTGTTATGTCACCTCTCAGAGGTATCTGGTGATGCTGAATGCCCACCTGTGCAATCCCTCTGTGGGTGCTGGTTTTGCAGGCGAGTTGTACTTTTTTTCTAGTATGTTTGTCCCAAACACATGTGTACTATGCGGACTTTCATCTTTTGTACTGTTTGGAGGTGGATTAATAAAAAAATCAATGAAATTCTTGCATGTTTTTGTCTGTTCTGTTTTTATCACACAGTAATTTTGACCAGTAACATGCCACCACTTCAAAGCCAGCTCTTTTAAATAAGAACTGTATGCAAGCAGCTTACCCTGCTCTTGGTGTGTCGGTCATAAGGCAACGGCAAGCAGAGGAGGAAGGAAAACTATAGTGAAAATTCCCATTTTAATGCAATGGGTGACATTGGAAATTTCACAAAGGAACTAATGTCATTCTTCCTTAACTCGGTCTCCACCTCATCTGCTGCCAGCGGTTTCCATTGGGACAGTAATGCCAGTTTGCTGCCCACCGAGGCTCCTGTCCGAAAACCTCAGCACGAGTGAGAGAGTGGAACCGAGGAACCAGAAACCTTCCTGGCACCCGAACTTCTCTCAAAGCTTTAATCCAACCCCTGCTTGCCACTAGTCTTGACAGGATACCGTATCTACACATTTCAATGTCCGTAACTGTGTAAATCTTGATCTCCCATGATCAACTGTTCGCTGTTAACTCCTGGAGATTATCGCATGCCACAACTTCATTTTCCTTTCTCAGGGAAAGAGATGTATTTTAGCGTCTGACCTAAAATGGCAAACAACGACGAAAGGATACTGCGTAGGGGAGTTAAAAACTAAAATGTGACTAAAATACGTAGGTATGTACTAAAGGAAGAAGTCCCGTTTCCCCAAGTTCTGTAACTGAACAAAAACCAGGGCGATTTTGGTTCCATGCCTTCAGAGCCGCCCCTCCTGTGCTCACTCGACCCTGCTCCTGCACCCTGCGGCCGTGGCTTCCCTCAGCGACAGCTCAGGGACCCTCCGCGGGACTACGGCCGCCGCCGTCCTTAACGCCCGGCGGGGTGCGCGGCCCAAGTTCGCCGCCGGAGGGGAGGAGCGGGCTGCGAGGGCGCCGCTGCCACCCGGGAGCTCCCGGCTCGTTCTCGCTGTCGTCGCAGCGCGCAGTCCTCCGGCCTGACCTGAGGGCGAGGAGCCGCAGCTGGCCCCCCGCTGCCTCAGCGGCGCCGGGCCGCCCCCCGGCTGCTGTCCGCCGCCTGACGGGCGGGGCGGCGGGGGAGCGGCTCCGCCTCCGCTCCCTGCCAGGGAGGCTGAGGCACCGGCCTCCGCTGCCCGGCCTCGGCGCCGCACCCCCCACGGGGCAGGGAGGCGGCGAGGATGCGAGTGTGCGCCGCGGGCGGCGGCGAGGAGAGGTCTCGGGCGGCCGGCGGCGTTGGGAGTTCCCGGCTCAGCCGCCGCCCCCCCGCCCCAAAAGAAGTGCAGTAGTTTGTGAAACGCAAGATGGCGGCGCGGCCGTGAGCGGAGGCGGCCTGCGGGTAGGCGGGCGGCGCGGGCAGAGGGGGCGAGGCGCAGCGGCGCCGGCAGGTAGGGGCTCGCGGCGGCCGTCGCCTGTGGCGCGGGCGGACAGGGGGCCCTCGGAGCCGGGAAGAGAGCGCGGCCCCCGCGGGGAGGCGTGTCCCTGCCCGCCCCGCTGCGCTGCGCTGCGCCCCGGGGGCCGGGTGCTCTCCCGGCCAGCGCCTCCCCGGGGCAAGGGCGGCTCCTGGCCGGTGGGGGCGGGCGCCCCGCTGCCGCCCCCGGGGTGTGCGCGGTGGGCCGGCAGCGCCCCGCCCGCCTCTCTCGCTCCCTCCCTTGCTCGCTATTGTCTGGCGGCGGCGGCGGCGGCGGGCATTGCCTGCCGGGGCCGGCGGGCTCCGGGCGGGCTGGGGCAGGCGGCGCTGGGGCGGGGGGGGGGAGAGCCAGGGCGTAAGTTGTGAGCGGGCTGCTGCCAGCCCCCGGCCCTGCCCGCGGGGGATTGATCCTGTTCGGGTCAGTTCTTCCCTCCTCCGCCCTGCGCCAGCCGCGGAGCCGGAGCCTGTGCGTGGCTTTGCTCGCCACGGGGCGGACGGAGGAAGATTGGTCCGAGTCGTCGCTCGGGGAGGAAAGTGAAGAAGTTCCGTCCCGGAGCGGCTGCAGGAGCTGGAGCTCCCGGCCGGGGTCACGGGCTGCGCGCACCCGCGCTGGCGCTCGGGCTGACGGACGGACTGACGGCCTCGCAGGCTGACGGCAGCGGGCGAGCCATGAAGTTGTGGCTCCCGAGTTGTGTCGCATCCCGTGGCGTTGCAGAGCGGGGC